CCTTAAAAAAAAAAAAAAAAAAAAAAAAAACTTCCAAATGCATTTTTCATAAGTTTTATCACTAAAATGAAACAAACTTAGTTGGTTCTCGCAGCTGTCTTTAACATGACAGGTTTAAATGTGACCAACTAACCTTTCTATTTTCTTTCTCTATCGGAGCAGGCCAACTGGAGTCTATTCATCTCTCTGCCCCTTTTGTCGCTGTGAAAAATAAAGAAGTCAATCTGACGGTGGTTCTCTCGCCAAGCCAAGTGGGAACGGTCACCTATATCTGGTGGTTTGGGAACAATTCAGAGGTAAAGTCTCCATGTGTGACTCACTAGACACCCGTGCATGACTGAGTCTGTGTGTGTGTTTGCCTCACAGAGTGCCATGTAAATAAAGTTGGCATCTTCACTGCAACTACGCTGACAGGGCGTACTCTAGAGAGTCTCTCTTACACTGTATTCACAGCCCGTGATCACGCTGGAGGGGAGTGTGGCGTTCACGTTCTCTCGAGAGGGAATCAGTGTTGTCACTGTACAGGTGTCCGCTGGGAATACCATCCTGCAAGACAGGAAAACCATCGCTGTCCACGGTGAGTTTTACATACAAGAAGTAAACAGACTGCTAGGTACTGAATATAGCTTCATATATTAGCAATGAGCTTTCTCAAAATGTGTTTTATTCTTTGCTCGTATATTTGTGATACTTTTTGAAAATATCAACACTTTAACTATTGTAGTTAAGCATACAAGGTATAGTAAAAATGGTAAAAAAAAAACTAAAATAATGTTACGTTATTATACAATTTTTTTATGTATTTGAAGGAAGTCAATTATGATCACCATGGCTGAGTATTATGCTCACCAAAAATACAATAAAAATAATAATATTGTAAAATATCATTACAGTTTCAAATAACTGTTTTTATTTGAATATTTCGTAAAGTGTAATTTATTCCTGTGATGCAAAGTTGAATTTCCAGCATCATTACTTAAGTCTTCAGTGTCACATGATCCTTCAGAAATCATTCTTATATGCTGATTTGCTGTTCAAGAAACATTTCTAATTATTATTAATGTTGAAAACAGTTGTGCTGCTTCATATATACTCCAGTCTTCAGTGTCACATGAATCTTCAGAAATAATTCTAATATGCTGATTTATAATACATTTTGGAAACAGTTGTGCTGTTTCATATATATATATATATATATATATATATATATAGCATTCTTGCTGAATATAAGTTTACATTTCTTTTCAAAAAGAAAAAAAAAAAGACTCCACACTTTTGTAAGTATATATATAATGCAAGGAAACATATTTTTTTGCAATAACAACAACTGTTTTTATCTGACATCACCAAGCTCTCTTGTTTTTTTCATTAATGTAAATTATGCGTGGATACCTAACCTTTATTTGCAACTGCTAATGTTTTTCAATGAATGAAAATGAATATTTGTAATTTTTTTTGGATATCCTCAGGAATGTCAAAAGTCAAAATTAAACCTCATTCATATCACATTTTAAATACTATATCATACAGTAAATACACATTGAAAACAAATGCTGCAGCAAAGGTGTACTGCAGTGCAGAAGTCAAAACGAATTAATAATTGTACGTTTTTTTGTAATTACAGAATACTTCAGATCTCATCTTCTTGCCTTTTCGTCTAATCTGGATGATCACAACCCTGATGTGACTGAATGGAGGCTTGATGTGAGTCGAGTCATTAAAACCTCAATGGTGCAGGTGAGTTCAATCCATTTACCATTTGACAAAAAACATTCACTTTTCACACAGCTAAAAATCTGGCCCTCTATTCAGTGGCATTACAGAGTTCAATATATAATGCTTCACTGCATATACAATATAATAAAGCATGAGGAGGCAATCATGTTTGCTTTGAGATCATCTGTATGGTAGTGTAGTGCTAACATAAGGTGAAGTGACATGACATGTGGCCAAGTATGGTGACCCATGCTCAGAATTAGTGCTCTGCATTTATCCTATCCAAAGTGCACGCACACACAGCAGTGAACACACACACACCGTGAACACACATCCGGAGCAGTGGGCAGCCATTTTTTGCTGCGGCACCCGGGGAGCAGTTGGGGGTTCGGTTCCTTGCTCAAGGGCACCTCAGTCGTGGTATTGAAGGTGGGAGAGAGCGCTGTACATTCACTCCCCCCACCTACAATCTCTGCTGGTACGAGACTCAAACCCGCAACCTTTGGGTTACGAGTCCGACTCTCTAACCATTAGGCCACGAATTCCCCCTTAGCTAAGCAGATATACATATTAAAGTCTTTCTTTTCCTTGGATGATGTAACTACAGCCTGTTTATTCATATTGACTCAGGTACACAAGAAGAAATAAATAGATTTTTCTCTTTTCACTTAAACTTTCTCTAATGTCTGTCAGTGCCCTTTGCACAAGGTTTAAATGAGTGTGTGCAAGAATATTCATCATCTGATCTGACATGGCTCTAGGATAAAGAATATAAGATGACTCATTTCTATCAGGCACAAAGACAAATTGCAAATGATTTTATCAAACAATGATCAAGGTCTTCTAGGAATTTCCTGTATAGATATCAAACACAGGATGAAAATAAACCACTAATGGACGAGTTGCTCAAAACTGTGATGGCTTTTGACATTTCAGGATGTGTTTTGAACATTATTTGACAAATTAATTCAGTTTTGTGGTCAGATAAATTTTAATGGCATTAAAGCAAAAACCTTTCAGAGAATCTCCATTTAAAGAGCTACTCAAGTAAACCTGTCGAGAGGGCATTTATATGTTCAGCGTATTAAAAAAATAAATAAATTCCATGAATAAAAAGTTTACAAATACAAGTGTAGTCAGGAGCTTTGTTGGATTTTCACATTCCACACTTTGCTTGAAGAACTCAAGTTGACGCACTTGTTTTAAAATTGGCTTCCAGATTCGCCTTCACAGATGGAAGGAAAACACCATTGTGACAGGAAAAGCTTCACGAATATTCAAACATATGGCACAACAGACCGAAATAATTATCAGTGTTCTCCTGCACTTCCCCCATGGCATTTTCAAGAGGCCGTTATAACTGAACATGGGGACTTTCTTTATGGATGTTTATGGAATATGACACTTGAGAATAACGGTTCCCGTGTGAGCCATATGCGTGTTCTGCTCTAGTTGGTTAGTGGTAATGTGTGTAATGAGTTTTGCGCTGGGCATATGGACAGGAACGAGGTGGACGCAGGGCCGTTTTAACCATAGGGCTAGGCGGGCCTGAAGCCCCGGGGCCCGAGCAAGGAGGGGGCCCGTGATTGGCTGTGGAGTAGATTGACTGGAGCGCCGATCGCCAAAGCCACCACGCCCCCTCATTTATTAGCGCTGTTATTTAGTTGAGCTTTTCCGTAAATTCCATGCATTACCATTTGAAATTGAACCGTAAAGTCTGAATTTGGTTTACCAATCAAATGCATTTATTCTATATTTGACTTTTGAACGATATGCGCATCATAGCCCCGGGGCCCAGTGCGGTCTTAATGCGGCCCTGGGTGGACGTTGTGACCTTGTAACATAAACCAAGGAGAATTCAGTCTGAAAGGCATAGTTCACCCAAACATAAAAATGCTGTCTTTATTTACTCACCCTCATTTCATTTCAAACCATTTTGGAACTGTGGAACACAAAAGGGGAAATACAGAAAAATCGATTTGTTGCAAGAGTGGGAACCAATGATGTGTGTCATGATGTCAAATCTGGTTCAATCCATCTAGAAGACGTGAGGGAGTAAATGATGCCGAAATGTTAATTTTTAAACTGAAACTTTAAATGAATCGCAGCTGTAATGGACTGTGTAATCATGTGTATTCATGACAGTGAACAATATATATGATTTTATTGTATTGTTTTAATTTTTATTTGTGACCCTGGACCACAAAACCAGTCATAAGGGTCAATTTTTTGGAAATTGAGATTTATGCATCATCTGAAAGTTGAATAAATAAGCTTTCCATTGATGTATGGATATGACAATATTTGGCTGAGATACAGCTATTTGAAAATCTGAAATCTGATGTGCAAAAAAATCAAAATACTAAAATGCATATTACTAATCATTACAAAATATCTTCATGGAACATGATCTTTATTTAATATCCTAATGATTTTTGGCATAAAAGAAAAATCTATAATTTTGACCCATGCAATGTATTTTTGGCTATTGGTACAAATATACTCGTGCGACTTAAGACTTAAGTTTTGTGGTCCAGGGTCACATTTAAAACATTTTTTTTACATATTTTTTAATCAGAGATTAATTGAAATTTGAATGGCTCAAAAACAAAGTAAAGAAGTCTCTTTTTCTGCATTTATTAGAAAATGCAGTACAAAATTGTGAATTATTACAATTAAAATAACTGTTTTATATTTTAATAGAATGCACATTTATTCCTGTGATGCAAAGAATTTTTAGTAGAGTCACACGATCTTTCAGAAATCATTCTAAAATGCTGATTTGAAACACATCTCATTTAATGTAATGTTGAATTGTTCTCTGATTAATATTTTGTCAAATCTGTGATTTTTTGTTTCAGGATTCTTTGGTGAATAAAAGGCTCAAAAGAACAGAATTTATTTGAGACCATTTGTAACATTATATTTACTATCACTTATCATCAATTGAATGCATCCTTGCTGAATAACAGTATTAATATCTGAATAATAATACTAATTTCATCAAAATCATAAAATGAGTGAGAAAAAAAATACAGTAAATCTCAAAAGAGCATTAGAGGTAAAGACATTGTCTTTTTTTTTAAACCTGAGTCTTTGATCCTTGTAATCCTCTAATCCTGTTTAATGGTTGTTTGTATCACTAATGCTCTGTTTCCTGTTCTTCAGGCGGCAGGGGTGAATTCAGAGCAGCTGTTGGTCACTGTGTTGCCTGGACTGCCAACAGCGGCCGAGTTCTTTCTGTTACCAGACATACGGCTGACAGAGGGGAAACCAGACAAAACAGCTACCCATTTAGACCAGGTACTGGACATAACCCTCATATTACATTATGCATGATTTTCAATCTCAGTTGTGAAACACTCAGCTATAATGAATGTTTTGCTTTACTTTTGTCTCTTATTCAAGGAGAAAAGGCTCAGATATTCAAATGCTATTTTCAAATCCCTTTCAAATACAAAAGGATGGTGGGGAAAAGGAGGATCTTGACAAGAGTTTCTTATGGTCTCCAGCAGATGTCAATGTTGGCCTGTTTAACTCTTGACAAAAACCTGTTTTTACTAGTCCACACAGACTTTTCTTGATCAGACAATCTCTCATTTTCTCCTGAAATTAAATACTTGGTTAAAAGACAAGCACATAAATACACTTTCATAAGCAACTTCAGAAAAAGTGGCTTTCTGATTAGATCTCAAAGCTTAATGAGATACATTACTTTTAACTCACTTGTGAGGTAGTGGGGTGAATTGTTAGGTCATTGCTAATTCTGGCCATTCCGCAGTGCATTTGGCCATACCAGAGAACAGCCATTATCGAATATGAGAAGATGCCTCATATCCTCCAATATTAACATGCAGAGTCATCTATATTTTTGAGGCAGTGATTTCTCATCATGCATACTATAGAGGAGGTTATTAGTAATCCATCCACTAGATCATTCAGTTCTCTATTTGCTTATGGGCCAGATATATTATATCACAGATGATAGGGGGATATCTGCACTTTGTGGATGTCCATGCATGGGTGCCTAAGCAGCACCTTTTTAGCGTTTTTTTTTTTCTCGCCCAAACCTTCCTTGAATCTGCAATGGGCCTTTCACTGCAGATCCTCATAAATCTCTGTTCAAGGGTGGGATGTTCAAAGTATAATGTGTAGATAGCCTTATTAAAAAAGTATAATAGACTGACTGACCCTGGTACAATTCATAAAGAAAGTAATTATTCATAGTATGGTCTAATTTTAAAAGGGTGAGAAATAAGGACAGAGAGAGACAGAAGGTGAGAGCGACAGAGAAATAAAGGAGCACAGAAATAAGTCAGGAGTCATTTAGTAAATGAGACAGATTTAATGAAGCTTGGGTTGAAAGAGCGAAAAAGGGGATTCCTTGAACGGGAAATAGTTTTGTGAGAGGTTTAGCACCATCATCACTGAACTCAGATCTGATGCCCAAGATGTTTATGAAAAAAAAAAAACTACATTTTGTCTACATTTCAATGAGCTAATATACTGTAGTTCATGGATGTCGCTAGGCCATTTTTAGGGGGGCTCCCCGTTTCAGCGCGTTCTTTTTCAATCCGCAGACCGCAGCGGCGTAGAGCGAGAAACAGAGGACAAGGTGTGTGTTTATCGATAGATTGTTATAATGTCTGCATCTGTGCAGTTCTTTGTCATAAATACAGTTTACTACTGATGGGAAACCAAGGCTTTCTGAACCGTTTGAGGCTTTCATGAAATTGTGCCGAAAAACGGTTCATTACTCGAAGCTTTTAATATTTTTTATAACTTTTTTATTAGCGACATCTGGTGGTCAGACTTGGATTCTCCACCAAATCTAACAAAACATCGTGGAGCAGAGGATGGTTTGAAAAAGTTTTTAATTTAAATCTTTATTCACACACACACACAGACACACACACACACAAACACGCACGCACGCGCACAGCTGTCCCGACCTTCCAATACCGCATGACGTTCGAAGCTTCAAACGTCATCAATCACGTGGTATTGTCATTTCGATACAAGCATCGGCACAGTGTGAGATACAGTAGTTCATTTGAATATATATATATATATATATATAGAGAGAGAGAGAGAGAGAGAGAGAGAGAGAGAGAGAGAGAGAGAGTATACCCTCATTGGGCGCTGAGCCTCCCTAAAATGAAAATCCTGGAATCGCCCCTGCTGTAGTTCTATACTTATTTTTTTATTTTTTTTCAAAAACTAGTAAAACATAATCATCAATATATATAAAATAAAATATATATCATATAATAAAATATATAACATAAAATATATATCATCAAACTAGAAGCACCTGTTCCAGAATGACCCTCAAAAACCCGATGTCCTAATCAAGCACAAAAACAAACAAAAAGGTTTTATTTTGGGAGGGAAATAACTATCTGCTTTCAAGATTTATGAATACATAAATGAGTCTGACAGTCAAGAGCCCTGTGTGTGTTTGAGGAAGAGGAGAGAGATGTTAGGCCTAAATGAGATCCCTCCTATGTCATCTATCTATATTTGTGAGTGAAGGTGATAGAGTTGATTTATGCTGAAATGTCTTCTCAGTGTGATTCAGGCTCATGTACGACAAACAACATCACGAGCCCACCTCAACCAACAGTACAATGCATCAGGACTCACCTGGCTCAGAAACAGGGAAATCAGATACCTCTGGGACTCAAATATCTATGCGATTGTGTAATTGAATAACAGATTTTGGATGTATCATATACAAGGTAGAGTTTCCTTATCCAGTGTGGTATGAATACAATGAATATGATGATGTGATTTTTCCTTTCAGCTCTCAGAACTGGTTCTCAGTGCTCTGAATCAGAATCTGGTTCAGTTCACACTCAGACCAGGAGTCCAGATCACAGTATATGCTGCCCATTTATCAGCAGGTAATGAACTAGAATCAAAGACTATTGTTCTAGATATGAACGAGAGAAGAATTGCAATCGTTTACAACAGATCATTGATAATGACAGATTTTAGATGAACAGTTCCTATAAGACATTGGTTGTATAATGAACTCTTTTCTATAAAGATTGTGGGATTCTCATTTTTAATGATTTTAATTTTTTTTTTTACTGTATATTGAAAGAAGGGTTGGAGGGTTGCACTGACAACAGTTGTCTGTCTTAATTTCCCCTGTGTCTAGCGCCTCTAGTGGACACAAGTGAGAATCACAGTGGCTCAGCTATGCTCATGCTCCTGTCTGTGGTGGTGGCGGGTTTAGCGGTGTTCCTCATCTATAAATTCAAAAGGTATTGTTATCCATTTTTAAAACTTCAACCTGGATCATAATGCATATATTAGCAGTTACAAATATGGTTAGCTTTGTAAATTGGTTAAATGTCTAGTGGCAAGAGTCTGGGGAAGCCTGGAAGATTACAAGTTATTTATAAAGTAGTCAAGACTCTGTACTGTTACTATCAAAAACCTACCTAACCACATTGAATTGACTGATTGATGATTGTTTTTTATTAATAAGGATAAATGTATATTTTTAAAGGAATAGTTCATCCAAAAATGAAAATTCTGTCATCATTGACTCACCCTCAAGTCGTTCCAAACCTGAAAGTTTCTTTCTTCTGTTGAACACAAAAGAAGATATTCTGAAGAATATTGAGGGTAGCCATTGACTTGCATAGTATTTTTTTTCATACTAAGTCAATGGCTAGCATCAATAGTTTGGTTAACAACATTCTTCAAAATATCTTCTTTTGTGTTCAAAAGAAGAAAGAAACTCATACAGGTTTAGAATAACTTGAGGGTGAGTAAATGATGGCAGAATTTTCATTTTGGGATGAACTATCCCTTTAAATATATAATTATGAGATTATTTGATTCGGATTAATCTTTTCAAACCGAACAGTATTATCAGCATTATGATAGAATTAAACGGCATTCGTTAACTGAATATAATCTGTTTAACTTTTTTGTAATACATTTTCTAGTTAATATAATAATAAATATTACCAATTACTTTGAATATTGTGACAAAAAAGCAGAGCAGATGTCTGTGCAAGGACTCAAATGAGGCAAAATCATTCTCTCAGATCTCTGAGTTTAGGTGTTGTGGTCCAGTTTAGCTCACAAAACAACTTTAAACAGCGTAAACCACTGAATGGATATGTCAAGTGGTGATTCACCCTTTTGCCATTGCAGAACCTTCTTCTTTTGTGTCTAAGCGCTCATAACAAATGTCAGTCAATGCACAGACATTATCAATATTTAGCCCTTTGAGTTTTTCAAGTTGACCTTTATGAAATGTTAAATGATTGCACCGTTTCTGTCATTGGGCTGAGAGAAAAGGGCACGAGAGGTCAATAAGACAAGATCTGGAGACAGGAGAGGGAGACAACAGAAGTGCCAAGAATTTTCTGATGCTTTAATACAGAAGTCTGAGGCATTCTGTGACACTACAGCCGGCAACATTTCACTTCTTTAAAAAACATGAGGGACTTCCTGTTAAAAAAGTTCGTTTACAAAAATGAATGATGAAAAACTGTTCTTTTCAGTGAGTCAGTTCACACAACTAGTCTGAATCTGTTCATGAATGACTGACACTGTTGTAAACTCTGAATATAAGTGAATTATGGCCTAAATAGTGTACACATGGTATGGACTACTTTTATGGTGCATTTGCATCGTTTTTGAAGCTCAAAAGCCTCATCTCCCATGAGGACTAATTGCAGTCGCAGTACAGTAAGCTCTGAAGAAAAGCATCTGCCAAACGCATAGAAGGAAATGGGTTTAGAGCGACATGAGTGTGAGTAAATGGTAACAGAATTTGTTTCTTTTTGTGAACCGGTCCATTAATGAGGGTATTAGATCACATCTTAATGAGCTGTCCATTTGTGTTGTGGTTTCTTCTTGCTAAATCCCTCTCCAGTTGTATTTAGCGCAATAAATTTGCTTTTGAATCCTCTTAGGCAATGCCTTGTTAAAGCTCTCTGGTTTTTGTTTTTGTGACTTTTTTCCCCTCCGTGATGATGCAGACCAAGACGGATAAAATCACCTCTCTAAAGGGAGGCCTTGATTTCACAACTCCTAAGTGAGACTTTTCACATAGAGGTCTTTTTTTCTTATTTCCTTGTCTTTTTACAACTTTTCCCTGAGGCAGATCCCAGACCTCGGCTTGTAAATGGACAGTACCGCACTTGCAAACTATAAACACATGCTTCCTGTGATAAACGACCAGAATGATGTGAACTGCAAAGCTGATAATGTCAGAGCCATCAGAACGTTCAGGAAAAAGGGCGGACGCTCACATTATGAACCTTATCGGCTTGACTAATGAATATTAATTAGGTAACGTTTGCCCAGTAGTCCTTGCTGAAGGATAAGTAGGTGACCGTTTGAGACCAGTTTGTTTGTCTTAACTAGGTCAGAAAAAAAAGGCCATTAAATCTAAAGTTGCCGTTTTACGCTGTTGGCTACTATAAAATTGATATTTATACTTTTATATACTACTGTTCAAAAGCTTTGGCTTGGTAAGATTTTAAAAATATATATTTTTTAAAATCTTTTGTGTTCACCAAGGCTGCATTTATTTGATAAAAAATACAGTAAAAACAGTAATATTGTGAAATATTATTTCAATTTAAAATAACTTTTCTATTTTAATGTATTATACAATTATTTTTTATTAATTCATTTATTTTTGTGTCAGTAAAGCTGAATTTTCAGCATCATTACTCAAGTCAGTGTCACATGATCCTTCAGAAATCATAATATTCTGATTTTGTGCTCAAGAAACATATCTTCTTATTAAAACATTTTGAAAAGAGCTGTGCTGCTAAATTTACTGTGAAAACCATGATGTATTTTTTTTTCAGGATTCTTTGATGAATAGAAGGTTAAAATTAACAGAATTTATTTGAATTAATAAAAAAACATATCTTGTAGCATAAATGTCATTACACTCTCTTTTGAGCAATTTAATTTGATGAATTAAAAAAAAAATCTACTGATTTTATAACTTTTAAAAGATATTTTAAATATTTAAATTATTAATTTAGTTGAAACTCTTAACTTATAACAATTATTTCCTAAAAGTGGGCAAGTTGAAGATGGACACTTGTCTCCATGAAGTTATTATGTTTGTTTATACCACTTGATAATATTGATTTTTTTTTTCCTCCCTCTGGCTGATTCCCCCAAGCATATGTCATAGCATCAAGCTTTGTTTGCCCATGTCTCATTGTAAATCTTTCCTCAAGGAAGATCCCAGGCCTCCACGTCTATGCAGCGATGCAGGACGAAAAAGAGCAAGAAATGATCCAGAGTCCAGTTTCTCCCACTGACAGCACACCCAGCTTCAGCTCTCAGAGAGAGCTGCTCACATCACTGGAACCTCTGGACACAGAGCCCAACACCCAGACCATCGGTGAGTACCACACTCGGCGCCCACTTCTGATACTTCTCCATTTAACACTGAAGTACTTTCCTACTCAGCTCCCCTCTTCTACTGAACTCATAGTTTTGAATATTGGGAACAGTAGACACACTTTCCCTGTCACTCGGCTCAGTCGTGGCATGTTAGCCAACTTCCTGTAAATGGCCTCAGCAGTTTTTGTTGGTATAGAGAGTCTTGTTGACTGCAGGGAAAAGCCCTGGTTGCTCGACTTATTGTCCCCTGATGACTCCTATAATAAATCAACAGAATAGCAAATGTCATGATATATTTCAGCTTTCTAGGCTGCTGTGGGAATCACTGATACTCTCATATGAGTTTGTTTGACATTTGGAAAGAAGACAATATATTGATAAAGAAACAACAGTAAGAAAGTATATATATATATATATATATATATATATATATATCTATATATATACAGGTG